GTATGACATGTGTGGCTTCCCCTTTCCGATCACGCACCGATCCGATTATTTGGTCATCGACGGAAGGTTCTCTGATCGGAGTCGGATCGGAGTCGAACCGGATAGATGTGACCCGGCCTTAACGCTTAGACAAAAACACGTCGTTACGGCGCGCTTTGAGAGCGTTTAAACTTTGATTGCTGATAAATTCGTTATGGCTAGGCAGAATACGAAAAAAATTGTATGACCCTTATTTGTTCGTCATTAACCAATTTTACCAATTGAAAAGAATGTGAAAAGATCCTATTGTAGAAGAAAGTGAAAGGGACCGCAACTGAGCAGTTGATTGCTAAGCTAAAGTCATAAAGACATCAAGCTCTGATCTGAGATACAGTGTTGAGTTTGATGAAAACACCAAAACCGTCCATTTTTGCTTGAATTCGCAATTTTGAAAGGACGACGTATCAAATAATAGTTTGAAAAAAGGCTACGTTACATGCGTTTTATCAAAAATTATCATCGGAAAACTCAATCTCAATATTTAGCTGGGGTATGGGATACAAACTTTCTTGTAAGCAATATTAACTTTGATTTTGCTTTTGATTTTCGCAAAAATCTCCGAAATAACTACGCCAATTTTGAATCGCTCTTTTGATAATTTTAAAGATATGCTTTTATTTATGTAAATCAAAGGTTCACGTTTGGGTGAGCACAAAGCAAAATACTGTTAATGAATTTTGTATTCACACTATTGCATAATGGAATGTTTAGATCACAATGGACAATAAAGTCTTTTTAACTTTCAGAAGGTAATCCTGAGCCGAGGGACAACGAAGCAGAAGAACAAGAAGAACAAGAAGAACAGTTGCACAATATAATTAAAGCAGTCGAGCATCCGACTAGTTCTAATATCTTGAAACTATTACCGAACAGAATGAAATCATTTTCCAGTTGTCTACAACTAATACCCAACCGTGGAGTTTATTGCGATCTTTGTCACTTTTTCTTGTCGGAAAAAGTTAACATAATAGAACATTTTCTTATGACTCCTGCACATAGAGCGGCGAAATCGTTACAATATAACTACTATTGTGATATATGCGATACATGGTATAAATCTGAGCATGCCTGGTTATATTATCATAACTTCTCTGGACCACGGTAAGTCAATTTTGCAAAATTAATTGAAGATACAATCCCGGTAGGCTTCATATACATACTTTCTGTTATTCTACTGCCAAATACAAGAATATTTTCTTATACATATACATACAGTGTGTCGCACTTAAGATGAAATCACCCCTGTATTTTATTTATTTTTGGAAGCAGGGTTTTGAGTTTCGGTACGGAGGTAGAACGTCATGAGCTTAATACACATTTCTAAATTCAGATTGCAACGCGTTACAGATATCGCAAAGGTTACTAGAAAAAGTTGTTCAGAATGTCATTTTAATGGTAAATACCGAGTTCCAAGTCAAGTCAAAAATCAAATTTTGGCGTGTTTTTAATTTAATTTAATTTAATTTTAAGTCCGAAGTTTTGCAACAAACATGATGAAACAATGCAACAATACATTATTTATTCAACAATAGAAAAAAACTAGTATTATCGAAGGTCTGCTTCAACTAGTCTACCGTCACGTCTGAGGCACTTTTCAATGCGTTAGCGATTGTTATTGGCAGCTCTCATCAGTTCAGCTACATTTATTTCACGGCAGGCTGGTCTTATTCTCTCATAGTCCTCGAGTTTGAGCTCTTACTTTGTAAACCTAATTGTTGATAGTATCTAAAGGATTTAGTCAATGCCGGACCAACCGGGGGTTATGAATAGGTGCACCGTCTAGTTAAAAAAGCATTTCTTGTCGCACGTTGATAAGCAAATTATCGATAATATACCATAATTCATTATTAAAAAAATTAAGCAATCGCTCAGCATTTAAGGTAGTGTGGAAGAAAAACGAACCAATTATTCTGTCACTTAAAATTCCGCGCCACACATTAACTTTTTGTGGATATTGACTTTTGCAGTTAATGTGTACCAGTATCTGCAGTTTTGAGAAGATACTATCCCATTGGTAGTAAACGTAGCCTCATCCAAACATAATTTTTCCTAAAAAGGTACTATCATTTTAAAAATTGCCTTGGTTCCAAAAGCAATATTCTAAGCGTTTCAAGTCATCACCTTCTCTCAACGTGTGCAGAAACTTAGGTTTGAACGGCTTTATTTTATGACGAACCAGGCATCTTCTAATTTTGTCTTTCCTTACATTTAAAACAACAGCCCTCAGACTCATTTGATGATTGGCACGAACTGAAGCTATGCTGGAATCATCATTATGCTTTCTATTGCGATTGTGTGAAGTTGAGCGTGAAGTGGACTGCTCAACACATTTCCAGTTTGAGTAAAACGCAAATTCACCCCTGCTGCAGTTTTATGTCTAATATGATTTTTCTGTAGATGTCTCATATTGAATTCTTCCGCAAGTTGTCTGCCACTTCGAACTTCATCACCAAATAATCTAATTGTTTCTATTTTCTCCTTTAAACTGAGATGTTCAATAGGCATTTCGTCAGCGCACTGACGCAATTAATGTTAAATTGACAATTATTGGAGGTGACTAATTTGTTTCCTTGACTCTACAGGTAGTGATGGCTCTCTCAGAAACCCTGCTTCTAAAAATAAATAAAATACAGAGTTTTTTAGTATACTTTCAATTAATTTTTCACTAAGCACTTCGAGCCGTTTTCCGTTCATCGGCAAAAGATATTTTGCCAAAAATCATTTAGCATTCGTTGTAGATTTTTTTAATTATCTTTATAAACTGATCTAATGTATTATTGTTGTTAAATCGGATTACACCCTCATTATTAACTTCAAGCTGATACTTTCACCACTTTAGTAACTGCACTATTAATGTAAATATCCGACTATCGAAATCCGCTATCTGTTTGTCTGAATTAGTTAATTTATTATTATTATTATTATTATTGCTGATACTCCGAATTGAGAATCTGGGTTGCTAAAAAAAAATCTATTGCCTTATAGCTATATACTAATTTTTCATGGGGTTTTTGGCTTTGGCTTTTGGCCCTAATCGGCAAACAATCTACGATCACCATCATTTAAATTCGTTTGGAAAAAATACCTTGCAAGTCCGTGCACATCGAAAATTAACCATTTGCAGGTCCATATTTATATGAAAAGTTCTAGTTTTGGTCGTAAAACGCTTCCGTATTCCCGTCATTTACGTATCGATTAAATAAAATTATTTATTGCCTTATTTTCAACGTGGATTAGTTCTTTGCATTATGTTATTTGTTTCAAGTTCAGAGACAGTTTTAAGACGAAACAACGATAATCTGCTTCTTGCCTCACCAAAGATGTTTAATACTTGCCTGTCATTCACTAGTTCACTTATGTATACATATATGTATAATCGAGGCGGAAACGTAAATTCCTTACTAAGATGTAGAATGTGCGTTTGCTTTAAGTTTTATATCAATATTTGTTTTACAGACATCTTAATATGGCAGCTAGTAGACGCAACAAGGTAACCGAGTATGAATGTACCACTTGTAGACTTGTTATATTTGGTGACAATTTATCGTTATCCCGACATAAAATGCAAAAGCGGAAAAGTAGGAAAAACCATCGGGGCAGTAAGTATTATTATATTAATTTAGAAAAATTAGCTGTCAGTAAAAAAATTGTTAAGTGTGTGAGAGGAAGTCTTTTAAAATGCCTCAAATTTTACATTATTTTCATCGAAAGAAAAAAACACGCTAGAGGCCATCTCTACATTATATGTTTCAAATTCAAAATGCTAAACAGTCACGCAAGTTTATTAATATCATGAATATGACCAAAAACAAAAGAAATTGCTGTATTTACGAGTCCAACAAGTCCACTCCCCCTTACTAGAATTTTACCACTAGATATTCCATTCATTTGCGATGTTGTCATGATGAATGTTTTATTATGTTGTCTTGTAATTACACTTTAAATTCTTTGGAATTTTTTTATTTCAAGACTTATTAGAAACTAAACAAGTATAACACTAAATATATTAATGGCTATTGTTTTCCTGCGTTGATGCTACTCAAATATGTAAATCAACTCAATTACCAAGCCGGCAAAGCAGCTTCCATAAGTACTTACTTTCATTATAGACTGTGAACCCCCATCGAAAAACGTATACAAATGCATCTGTTTAATCTGATGTTTTAGATCACTTAAGACCTTTAACTGACGATATCTTCTTTATTATAGTCTCACACGCTTTTTAGGTAGAAACAATCTAATTTTTATTTTTGCCCAAAATTTGTTAAGGGGATCAAAAAATATATAGTATATCAAGTCATGGTAGGTATCATTTTCATCGACGGGAAATCAGGGATACAACGAGATTATGGAAAAACACAGTTCAGATCTGAAATAATCGACATTTTTAGAAAATTTTAAGGGATGTTTGATGGCTCACGATCATTAACCGACGATAATTTGCTTATTATACACCCCAACACTTATATATGTATACTGGGCATCTTCTTGCGTCGGAAACAATTCATTGAGCTCAAAAACACCCATGTGAAATCTTGATTTTTGATCAAAAATTTCTCAGGGGTCGATTCTAAAAAATCAAATATATAATATATAAATTAATAATATAACTGAGGCCAAGCTATTTGGATAATTACGTCATCATCAGGGCCGCTAAAAAAAAACAAAGTAACCGTAAGAACCCTGGTAACAAAACATACTCGTCAAATCGCAAGCAAACGTGAGGACATAACAAAAAATGGGCGAAACGGTCTAAAATGGCTCAAATTGTATATGAGAAAACAGATTAAATTAAAACAAAAATTATTAAAATTAAACTAGAAGTACTAGAAGAAACCCAATAATAGCGGGCAGAAACATTTTACATCTCCGTAACTATCCCAATAGCCATCACTGAATTTTATTTTATTCAATGTCAGTTTTTCTTTTAACTAAAGTGTATTGTTTTATCCTAACCCTTGCTTTACTGTTCATTTTATTTGCATTGCTCAATTAGTACAAATAAAATTTTCACCACTATATTTTGTCGGGATGTTATGATACTGTCAATGGTTTTCTTTCATTCTTGAGTATAAAATTGTCCTTTCCCTTTGAAACACCTTTGTTTGTTCTGATCTCAGGTCTTTAAATAATGTTTTCATTGCCTGTAACTGTCCAAGCCAGTCGCCAAACCCATTGCCCTTTGAATACCTTCAAATTTACTTTAATTGAGGAATCTTTCATTTTAATAACGATATATATTTATTAGTTTTTAAGCATGTGATAATTTGTCCAGTATTTTGCACAGATGAAAAAAGGAAATAGTTTCCTCTTTGTCAGCCAAATGTGAAATGTTTCTGTCCGCTGTTCTTGGGCCAGTTTTATCAGACTGTGAGAGTCAGAGAGAGTTTCATTAAGTTTGTCGTATACAATTTTAGGCCGTTTCGACCGTTTTTTGTCTTGTCACCATGTCTGCTTACGGCCGGATAAGTTTTGTCTTCCTGATATCCTCGAGGCTACATACAGTTACTTTGTTTTTTAGCAGCCTTGATAATGACGTATTTGTCGAAGCGCTTGGCCTTAGTTATATTACATACACATTTCGTTACAAAAAACTTGTTGGAGTGAACGATATTATTGAAAAACACTAGTCTTCGGATCCGAAATAATCGACATATTTAGTCCATTTTAAGCGGTTTTTGATCGCTCACGATCTTTCCAACAATGTTTCTATGTGACACAACACTTATACGTATTTTAAGTTGTAATTGTAAAATTAAACCATCCATCGTTTTCTTGTTTTTTTGAATGACTGGGTTTACAGCAGGGCTGGGAATCGAACTCGAATAATGAGTATTCGAATATTCAAAAAGCGAATAATTCTGTCTAGTCATCATAACTCGAATATTCGAATACTCGAATACACCATTATCAAACTCACAAGGTGCAAATATCTTTATATGCACTTTGTATACTTTTATAAAATAAATTATTCATATTCTACAAGGATTTAAACAAATACCCATATATTTACAAGCAAATGAAAATAATCATTTACCCTCCTGCAAATGAATATAAAATTACGTCTCTGTGTTCTGGTGATTCGCGTCATCAACTTTTGCGCGGTGTTACAATTAATGTGCCGACAATGGCACTTTTTTATCCGTTGCGGCTAATTGGCAAAAATGAGATAACGATTTTTCTTCTTGGAAAACGGTGAATATTCGTTAGATATTCGAGTATTCGAATAATTTTACTTGTCGAATAAACCACTAAACAAGTATTCGAATTTCAGATTTAAAAAAATTCTTAGCCCTAGTTTACAGCCTTAATTGTTTTTAGTATTTTATTATTTAGATAGTAAACGCTGAAAGATTCGAATACTATTAGTATTTGAATTTTATAATGATGGTAATTTTTGCAAATGCAACACTAATTATTCAAATTATAGCTGTTAAACTACCACCACCGATCCGTCTTTTATTCAAGTCAAAAGAGAACATATGTGCTGTAGCTGAGAACCTAGCCAAAGAAGCGGAAGATGTTCTCAGGAATTCTTTAACAAGGGACTGTTGCAAGCAACTTGAATCGGTTTTGTTAGCAATTTCTCCAAATTGTAGAGTTTATCCATTTGGATCTAGAGTTTCCGGATTAGGAAATAAGGTAAATCTGAATTAACGAAACATTTTCCCGCAAGGGCAGCAACACAAGAATTTTCGTTTCAGGATAGTGATTTAGATGTCTTTGTCGATATGGACGAAGACTACTTCGGTAAGAATTTTCAGGACGCTAAGAAGCAAGTGATGTTAATTCGAGGTATTAACAAAATTTTACAAAAACATAAAGACTTTGCTGGTACTATACCAGTTTTGAGTGCTCGCACACCAATTTTGAAATTGTATCACATACCAACGAAGCTCGATTGCGATTTATCATTCAAACACGGTCTTAGTGTTGAAAACACTAAATTTTTAAGGTATGCTATATACTTTACAAGTTTTTTTGATACTTTGAATTTTGTACATTTAAACATTTTTTTATACTTAATTATTTTGGTATTTTCAGACTTTGCATAGAAATGCAACCCGTTTGTCAACGACTGATTCTACTGGTTAAAAGTTGGGCCGGTTATATAATTTTTGAAAATATTACTACCTATGCTTTGGCGATGTTATGCATATTTTATTTACAAACTCATGGATATTTGATATCCGTAGATAAATTATTCGAACTAAATAAACATAAACCGATAAATATTAGTGGTAAGTGAACTAACCTTGCAAATAAGTCTCATGAATAATTTAGTATATTTTCTCATTGATGAGATACTTTCAACTTGCGCTTGTAGTTGATACATTTATTTACATACAGAGTGGGTTTTTTAAGTTATAAATGTCAATATCACTAAGGCCCGTATTTATAAACGGTACTCAAGCCGATACTCAACTCATACTTCTCCAAGTACGAGATCGTTCTCAACCGAGAGAGATGATTTATAAACAGTACTTCGTGAATTCTCGGCGAAGTATCGGTCGAGGATAGATTTATAAGGACTTTCGTATTTATTTGGTAATTTAATATTGGGACTGTTGGCGAACTTGGCGAATCTAAGATGGCGTCGAAGTTATTATGTAAATATGTATTTGAAAGACTGAATAATAAAACGAAGATCACCGAACACAAGCTAAAATATAATATACACTTTATGTAAGAAAGTAGACATGGTAGTAGTGACTTTGCTACTTGTTGCATAGAATCTATAGAATAGAAAACTAGTTGTATAGAATCTTAAACATACCAGCAATTGAGTAATGGGTGATATTTTGATATTGGTAGTCCACGATTATCCGGTTTCAATAATGGATCGTTTAAAAAGGTAATATCACCGCAATAATAGTGGCCCTTGAAAATAGAAACATTTTTCGAAATTCTACATCCGAGAAAAACTCAAAAGGATTTTTGCCATCTCGTATACAGTGTGTCCAGTATAAAATGTACATGGGGATATTGGAAACCGTTAAAGATACAGAGTGGACCAAATGGGGAAAAAGTTGCGCAATCAAGTGCCTATAAATAATCTGTCATCAACTTCTTTGAACTCAGAATCGCAACGGATATATAGGGAAAAAAAGAAAAAAGTACGTTTTATAAAGTCCTTTATATCGTGTTTATTATAAAAGATACAATAACGACATTTTCAGGGTGGGGGTAAGAAATGAGCGTGAATTTAAAGCGTGAAAATAAAGTAAAAAATAATCTAGGCCCACTATGTTCAATGAGGCCGAAGTCAACTTTTGTTATTCTTATGGGCGCCATATTGAATTTCTGCATTTTTAAATTTCCCTTTAAATATGCTCTTCAACCATGTATAACATGTTTATGTTCGGTCAAGATAAATAATTAAAATTAACAAAATTAAGATTTAATGGTAGTAGGCATTGATATTTCTCTTCAATTTCCCCATAGTGACGTTCGTTGTCTGTTTTAATTACCTAGGTAACTGTCAAAGTAGAATTTATTGTCAGTGTCAAGTGTTTGTAATTGATTGTGTGTTTCAAAATGAATCACTTCAAATTATGAAAAATACGATATGTTGGAGTGTTTTATTCTCTGCCGTCGAAATGAAGCGAAAGCTGAAGAAATGTATTTAAATAAATATCCAGAAAGGCGACATCCTGGTAGAACTATGTTTTTAACGAGACACCAAACTTTTCCTTAAAAGTTCTTTGGTCAGATGACTGCCATTTTACTAAATGTGGACTATTTAATCGTAAAAATACGTTTTTTGGTCTGATGAAAATCCACGGCTAGTTCGTCAAGTTAGGTTTGGATTTAACGTCTGGTTAGGTATTGTGGTTACCCACGTGATTGGACCATTTTTTAAAAATGAGCTTAAAAACTTAAATTCCTAGAGATATTTGAACGTCTTAAAAACTAACGTAGCGGAAGCACTTATGGATGCTCCAGTAGCTACCCTGGACGTATTATCACAGAATTTTTAAATCACGAATTTTCGATTTTGATTTAAATCACGAAGTGGATAGGCAACCTGGGACCAGTAATATGGCCTGCGAGATCCCCTGACATAACACCGCTTGATTTTTTTGCGTGGGTTTTTCTCAAAAATGTGGTATATCGTAGGTCATAACCGAAGAAGAGCTGAGACACGCTGTTATAGAAGCTGTTAACAGAATTACCCCAGAAATGATCAGAAAATTCTGTGAAGCAGTAATGAGACGGTGTATGTTGTGCGTGCGAGAAAACGGTGGCTTATTTGAACACCTACTTTAATCTTAAAATGTTACTTGTTCTTTTGCAGTGTTCGATGTATGATCAATAATAATTTAAAGTAATAATTAATGGAAATATCAATTGCTACTGCCATAAAATCTTAATTTTGTTAATTTTAATTATTTATCTTGACCGAACATAAACATGTTATACATGGTTGAAGAGCATATTTAAAGGGGAATTTAAAAATGCAGAAATTCAATATGGCGCCCATAAGAAAAACAAAAGTTGACTTCGGCCTCATTGAACATAGTGGGTCTAGATTATTTTTTACTTTATTTTCAACTTCACGCTCATTTCTTACCCCCCCTCGCAGGCCATCCCCCGGAAAATTTCGTTATTGTATCTTTTGTAATAAACAATATATAAAGGATTTTATAAAACGCACTTTTTTCTTTTTTTCCCTGATTATCCGTTTGCTATTCCGAGTTCAAAGAAGTTGATGACAGGTTATTTATAGGCACTTGATTGCGCAACTTTTTCCCCATTTAGTCCACCCTGTAGCTTTAGCGGTTTCCAATATCCCCATGTACATAATTTTATACTGGACACACTGTATATATTTTACGAACACCTTGTCTGCGTTAATTTTCTGCTCTATTACGTCCAAATATTCAAAAACCTTGTCCATTCTTATATTGTATACGATTGTAAAATAAAAAAAATAAAATGTAAAAACATAACATAAACAGTAATATAACCTTAAAACCGTTTGACTGTTCAACGAAAAACCTCTACCAATGGCTGGGCAGAAGCAATAATCAAGCCACCGTCGACCGGTACTTGAGGAAGCAAAGCTGTGAGCACTGGCTTGAGCATGAGAATGGTTTATAAAACGTACTCGAAGTCAAGTCTCGTACTTGAGACTCGATTCAAGCTTGAGCATCGTTTATAAATACGGACCTAAAAGTATGCCAGGAGTAACAATGAACAAAAATGCACTAAGATTTCATCGAGACGGAGCCCCACCACATTCTTAAGTGGATTATCTTCGGAATTGTTAATCAGGCTTTTACTTCCTTAAGAACCCGATTTGAGGATCTAAAATCTTTAGGTAGTGTGTTTGGTTTGTTCAGTAACACTTCATTTTATATTTCCAAAAGTTTATATAACTGTGTTATACAAATTTGTGTTACTATTTGTATAAAATTCATTCGCCAATTGGGGCACATGCATTTTTTCAATATCTACAGAAATAATGTACAATTTTCCCAAACACTCTGAATAGCTTTGAGAGATCTTAAACCAAGGCAACAAATTCTCGTTTTTTCAATGAATTGTTTAGGCGTAGTTATTTTTATACACTCTTTTAACTACCAATGCCTAATCAAGGAAACCAAGATAAATGTGGGGTGGCATCTTATTTTAGCACCCCTGCGCTGTTGCGGGCAGCAGTTTGGTATCATGAAATAGCGTATTGAAAATGCTTTCCGATATGTCGCAACCATATCCGTACTTTTATATAAAAAAATTAGTTTAGGTACTTTTGGCAGCTGATATATTGTTCGACAAATTAATATTTATTCTTAAAAAACCCGCATTGTGTGTGTGATTATTCAAATATCTTTTCAGGTTGGAAAACTATTGCTTATGCATTATCTCTTGAGGATATGAAACTTCACATTAAACCTTACCAGGGGACATTAACTGAGCTGATGGAACATTTTTTCAAATATTATTGTTTCTTTGACTTTGCTAGCGATGTAAGTATTACATTTTAATCAGTACAATATGCTCATTTATTTAATATGTTCAATGGGTTTTTAGGTGGCTTGTCCCCTGTTGGGTAAAGTCGTAAAACGATCTCTGTTTGAAGGCGATATTGAGAAGTTGCCTCCACAAATGGACACTTATATTACCCAGTTGACTGGAGACGATCCAGAATTCTTCAGATCGAACTCACCCATGTGTATTCAGGATCCTTTCGATTTGAGTCACAATTTAACGAAGGCCGTTCATAAAACCACTTTGATAAAATTTCAGGAAATGTGCAAACTCAGTTATGAGTATTTAAAACAATTGCACTAATGCAAAAAGTTATTTTTATTTTATTGTGACGTCTATATTTTTAAAATATGGTTTAAAATGACTAAGGAAATGAAATGTTTTCTTTTGGTAGATTTACCAAGTTTATTGTTTTGGGACATCGGATAAAAGAAATTTCATTCTTGTTACGCAATTTTATTGTATGTCCATATGAACAGAAAAAATACGTTAAGTAACCTAGATTGTTCAATGTATGTTCCGATTAATCAATAAATTTTTTAGAATATCTCTGCTGTTTATTTCGATTTTCGTAGATTTGCACTTAGTTTCCAATCAGTAAGTGGGTTGAGTGAAAATGCTTAGAGTTAAATAATAATGTATTGCCGCAATCATCTAACTAAAAAGCTTTATATGCATGTTTAAGAAATAAAACTCACTTACGCAACACTAGTCTAAAAAAATAAAATKATKATSCSARWTTGGTYGCTSAAATTTTRTTWWC